ACAAGATGAACAAAATTCAAGGTTTTATTAAATTTTGAGACATTACAATTTTGTAATACAATTCGAAGGGTGTCTTTATTAGGATGACCCATACTACAATGCTCTGTATTTAGATAAATATTGAAAACAAAATTTACAACAAAAGAATGTAAATCATTGTATTGTTGATTCTAAATAGAAGAAGGAAGGCACACATGGGAAAATTTATAGAGTCCATCTTGGTTGAAAGATACTTGAAAAAACACATCATTAGTAACATGAGATTTCACAAGATAAACATTCACGTGAAATTCCAAGAAAATATTATTATCCTTAGCAAACTTGCTTATACTGACCATATTTTTTGTAATGTGAGGAACATGAAGCAAATTATGAAATGTAAGGTTAAATTGGGATTAAAAGGGGAAGGAAACCAACTTGAACCTAAGGATGAAATAGGAAGACCTTCACCATTATCAACAAAAAACTGCTCGTGTCCATCATAAGGAACAACATGTTTAATGTTGACTTGCTTAGGCATTACATGCTATATGAAAAACCTAAATTTAGATACTGTCCTAGTGAGGAATTGATATTAGTGTTTATAGTGAAGGTCTTTAGAGAAATTGTTAGTTCACTAAAGGAATAGAGGGCGATTAGCAAGTTTATTGTTGCTATTGAATACATTATAGTATTGATTACCATTGGATGCATAACCTTGTTTATTATTGTAAGGCACACACTGAGGATCATAACAATGATAACAAACAAATGCTTGATGTTTGAATTTGAAACACACTTGACATTGAACGGAGTTTCGTCCTCTACAACCACGACCCTTCCCTCTTCCATAATGACCATCATACTGGTTAGACTGAAATTTTGTAGAGTATTATTGATTGTTGTTGATTAAATTAGCTTGCAATTGAGTAAAAACAATGCTAGAATCATTCTTCTTTTCCATATGAGAAATATTGACTAAAGCAGCAACAATGTTTTGATTATATTTCTTTAATTAGACTTCTTGAGCTATGAGAAACACCTCCAGTTCATCAAAACCAAAAGGTTCAAAATGACTACTAACAACATTGATTAGAGAATCATATTCTTCAAGAAGGCCTTCAATGATCACGTCCAATTGTTCTTGATGAGATATAAGATTGTTGATTGAACAAAGAATGTCAACAATGGTCTTGATTTGAAGAGCATATTCTAATATTTGTCAATCATTTTTCTTAGAGTTTCGTAATTCTATATGAAGCATTCTTGCTCACACACAAGTGTGTGCATTGAAGTGGTTGTGCAATTTGTCCCAAAGCTGTTAATGGTGAACACAACCTATAATTCTTGAAAGAATTGGCGCATAAATAGATGATTGAAGCCAAGAAAGCATAAGTGAAAGCTTAAGAGATTTAAGAACATCTTTTAACCTAACACACACATAATATATATATATATATATATACGGTGTAACTTTAACTAAGTGTTACACCGCTCAATAACTTTATATTATCTTCAAGTTGTTGTTCAAAATTCACATTTAATATAAAATTATTGAGTGATATAACACTTAGTAAAAGTTACATCGGTGTCGTTTGAACCCTCCTCTATATTATATATATATATAAGTAAAATAATTGAACTAATTGTGAATTTTGTAAATTCAACCGTTAGATTGAAAGTTCCTTACTCTTAGATAATATATACAAAATTTTATATTAATCCAATATGATTTGATACTTCATTTTTATAAAACAAAATTGACGTAATATATTCATTTCAAAATACACTAAAATATGAATACTTTAATTACCTTCAAGTTGTTGTTCAATTTTAACAAAATTTGATATATACATATAAAATGATATAAACTTTCAATCGGTTAGATTTAAAAAATTCACAACTAATATAAAGTTATTGAGTGATGTAACACTTAGTTAAAGTTACACCGGTGTCATTTGAACCCTCCTCATATATATATATATGGGTAGTTGCCGAAGCATACAAAACACACTTTAAATAAATGTAACAACCTAAAAAATAATACAATAATACAACAAATTTAGCATAAGAGTTTGTGCATCCTACTGTGATAATATTAAAACAATATACTAACAAGTTCTAACAATATTGGATTACAATAATAATATTATAAACATATATATATATATATATTAAAAACTGTTTAAAAATATAAGATGTGTTTTGGACTAGAAAAAAATTATGTTTATAAGTTTTTCTCTCATAAAAAAAAAATATTTTTTTTGTTGAACGTAATTTTAAATTAATATTCAAATATACATATAGGTCTATATTAAAAAATTACTACACTAAACAAATTTTTTTAAGAAACAATCTCCATTATTTTTTAATAGGAGCATATAAATTGAGATAAATAGTTATTTTAGTAGATTTTAATATTTTTATAAAAAAAATGATGTACGAAATTTAATGTTACCACTTTATACCAAAGTTTATTTACTAATATCAATAAAATTGATGAATAATAATTGGAGAGTTTAAAAAGTAAAAAAAAATTCTAATTCTTTTCTCATTTTTAAATAAGAGATACAAATACTTGTAATATTTAGTATAAACAAAAAAATGAAAGATAAAATTAATGTTATGTAAAATATTTGATAAGAAATTATTTTTTTTTTTTAAAAATTGTCTTATAATAAAAATAATAGTGAGTAATTATTATATTTATTTTTAAATAATCGATATCCTGTGAAATTATGAATGGTAGTAATTTTATTGCTTGAAATATAAAAAAGGTGATAGAAACTATTATTACATTTTCTTATTTTTAGCATTTTAAAAAAATTGATGTATAAAATTAATTAATATTCTTGTAAAAATACTTATTGATTAGAAATTTGATATTCAAATAATTTAAAAAAATTGACTACTTTAATATTTCTGGACCCATCTCTAAGGATATACGAGATTGTATTTGTGTGGAAGTTTCGGTCCATAGTGGGATATGTAGTTTTAAACAAGTCCACTTGTCCCATTTATAAAAGAAGTGGCGAAAAAAAAAAGAAGCAAACGTACTTTGTTATGATATATTAGTGTTTGAAATTTCATTTTAAATCTCGACTACTATTTTGTTACATAATCTCGAGTAATTACGGTAAATTGAATGAATTTATTTAGGGAATAAAACTCTTCTAGCAGTGTGGGGTAAAGTAGATAAACGAAGACTTAGATTGAATTCTTTATTATGAATGTTGTAATCATTTATATTTATTAAAAAAAATAAGCTTTGCTTAATTAATAGGAAATAAGCTTATTGAATGTCAAGTCAACATGAGTTATCTCATGATTAATTACACAATATTTGTTAAACTTTTGTAATAATTACTTTATTTATTAGATCATCAAAAGAATATATTTTTAATTTTCACTTAAAATCATCTTATAATAATTAATGGTTCAATTATATTTTTAATTTATTGTCTCATTTTTTAGATTTATTTAGATTTTTTATTTATTAAAATATTTATTTTAATTTTTTCACTTTTATATCTAAATTAATCTGACCCTTTTAAAATAATGATGTTTTTTAATTTTGAAACATAATTTTGAATTAAATTTTAAAATTAATTCAAGACTTAAAATTTGTAATATTAGATTCACTTATATAAAAATTATAAATGTAATTGACGTTTGAATCTAGAATTATAAATATAATAAAAATTATGTAAAAAAATATCTCATGAACAATTAGAAAGTAATATAAAATTAAATTATTATTATTTTTTATTTTTACTATATTTATAATATATTTAGTTTAAATTTTAAGTATATTCAATAATATTTATATAAGTAAATCTTAAAAGACATGTTTCAAGTCATAAATAAGGAGAGAAAAAAATTCAGAAAAAACTAAATTGACATAAATTTATGAGATAAAAAATGAAAATTAATTTAAAAATATTAAGATAAAAATTAAAAGTATAATTTAGTGTATAAAAAACTCTATGATAAATTTAAATATAAAATAAAATACAAATATTTTTTTTACATAATAATATAGTTTTCTACATGTTTTTAAAATAAAAAAGAATTTTAATAATAATGATTGTCATTATCATAGCATGTAAATGATAGAAGAATGAATTGTCATGATACGTTTGTCAAAATTTTCTCTTATTAATATTTTCAAAAATTTATTTTTACTTATATATAAACTAATTTTAATTTATAATTTTTTTTATATAGAAAATTGTATTTTATTTTTTATATTTTTTTCTTATAAGTATTTTTGAATAAATTTAACCAATCATATTTATATATAACAAATATATTAGTACAGGTGCGTATCCAAATTACAAATCTTGTTTTTTTCACAAAGCTTCTTACCAAATTGTCATTAGTTGTGACTTGTGACTAGATTTACCGGACTTGTTTGTGTTTTTCAATTAGAAAGCAAAAGCAGCTTCAGTCCAAGTAGTGGGTTGGTCAAGGAGATATACCATGCACAACAACCGCTTCATTAAATTTATACATGAATGGAGCAAAAAGGTGAAACATTGTTTACTTCATTAGCAAGAGAAGAAAAAGAAAACTAAGGAATAAGAAATACGATCACTGATGTAATAACAAATATACAAAAATAAAAATATTGTACCTATAAGTTTATAAATATCATTCTTATATATATATATATATTTGTAAAAGTCTTTCACCGTTTAATAAATTATTTTGTATAACAAATTTATAATTCTTTTAAAAAAAAAAAATAATTAAATTTTTTTATTTGATCAAGGAGATATAATTTTTTCGATTACAACTTTATTTTCAAGACGGATCAAACTCTATCTAATCCTTGATTAAATAAAATAAGTGTTAAACCACTTAAATAAAAAACTTTTGGTATATACTATAACTAAAATACCATTGCTTGGTACAACGTTCCTATACAAATGGAAATGCCATGAAATTACGTTAAAAGTAAAGAAGTGTGTCAAAAAGTATAGGTTTCATTTGCAAGATGCTGAATTTGTTATTTATATAAGGGGGGGATGGCAACATGATGAAAATGTATAGAGGCAGTGACTTGACTCAAAACTGAAAAGTAGAGACTAGAGAGTGAGAGAAACGTTTGGCAATGACGATGGAGGAAGTAGTGGAAGTAAAGGTAAGTGCTAGAGCGAGAGAACCTCAGAGTTTGAGTTCTCCAACAGTGGCAACTCCAAAAACTCCGAAAAGTCCTTTTGCATCTCGTTTCATGAACAGTGCTACTCCCTTAGCCAGCCCCATGAAGAAGGCCATTGAAAACATGCAAGGTTACTTTGGAGAAGTTGGTCGCTTCACCAAACTCGAGGATTGGCTTCCCATCACTGAGTCCAGGAAGGGAAACGCATACTACGCTGCGTTTCACGTTCTCTGTTCAGGAATCGGATTTCAGGCTCTTGTTCTTCCCTTGGCCTTCATCACTCTTGGCTGGTCACTTCTCATATCACTCTAGATAAACATCTTAATTATATTTTATATTTCTCTTTTTTATCAAATCATATCACCATTCATATTTTTATACTATCAAATATCCAAGATTATTCCACTTTAATCATGTGTATTAATTCAAGTTTTAAATATATGTAGTTGTCTTAAATATTTACAGAAAAAATTCACTCATATGGTGTTTATAGACTGACAAATATGTGAATTAATTAATATAAAAAAAATATGTAATTATGTTAAATATTGAAAGAAAAACTTTTTTCATCCCTCTCCAACAAAAGACAAATTTTGTGTTCCAAGATATTAATACATGCTAATTATTGGACTAGAATTAATGATGAATGGGCAACACTGTTTATTGAGTTGCGTATTGGTGTTGATGCAGGAGTTGGGGAATGATATGTCTGTGTGTGGCATTTACATGGCAGCTGTACACGTTGTGGTTACTGATTCAGCTTCACGAATCGGACTCCGGGCTGCGCCATAGCAGGTACCTCAGACTTGCTATGGCAGCATTTGGTAAGCCTATAGTTAGCTTTTCCTTTGTGTATTATTACGTGCAAAATCTCCAATCCAAAATGCACAAGTTTGAGTTTTTCTCTACTTTCAATTTTATGTACAAATTTTTTACGCTTTCAAATTATATAAAAAAAAAAAATTAAGATAGCTAGTATTTAAAATCAACTAAATTTTTTTAGATATGATAATATGTCATTAGACAATAATATTCAAAATTAATTAAATTTTGTATTAACTTATTAATCAATTAATCAATACCTTTTAGACTGCTCAATTAAAGGAACGTTCGGTTCATTTTGATATTTTTATATGTTAATCTAATAACATTTTGATTTTATGTTAAGTTTATTGATTTTATTATAATTAATGGTAGTACTTTTTTATTTTTATTATAATTAATTTAATTAAATATACTTTAGTTTTATGTAAATATGGTTTTGTTTTACTCTTAGTCCTTACAATTTATTTTTTTTATTTTTTACTTTTACATCCTTAACATTTTCTTATTGTTCTGTTTGTCTCCTTACTTCTAAGTGTTGTTAGTGTACATATTAATTAAAATAAGAAAATATTTTAAATGAATAATATTTTTCAAGTGTGCAATTCAATTAAATAACGTATTACCATTTTATATAAATAAAGTAATTACATATAATTTATTTTTATTTTTTATTTTTTAATAAATTATGAACAAATTTTTTTTATCAATTTTAATATTATTCTTTTTAATTAACCAATTTATTTTAACATTGTACTTCTTACAAAAATTATAATAATTTTAATAATATATCACTTTTGTCTGTCTTTAGAGAAAAAATCACTATTGATATTTAAAATATAATAATTATATTATAATCAATTAAAATTAATGAATTGAAATGTAAAAATAACATCAAAGTGTATTAGAAGCCTATAATTCGATTTTAATATAAAGTAAAAACAATAATAAAAGTAATAATTTTTTATTTAATATATTATAAATTAAAAATAAATTATAGAAGTAAATTATGTACTAATATTCTTATTTATATAAAATCGTAAATATATTACTTAATTGAATTACACTCCTAAAAATACTTGTTATATCAATTTAAAAAACTATTACCATAATTATCTTAATATTTTATTTTATTAGTTATGTCAACATTAAACTAATTAGATTTCATGGTAAGGACTAAAAAATATTGGCAAAAAATCAAAAAATTCAAAAAAATTGCTAAGAATAAAACTAGACAAAGTTATATTTACATAAACTTAAAATATATTTAAATATAATAATTATTAATAATATAAAAATATATTTATTCACACTGCATACAAATTAAACTCTTACTTATTTGTCAGCGGGCCCGTATAGTTTATGCTTATTCAATCTAGTTGTTTAAGAAAATAAAGGTAACCAATGTTACCAAGGAAGTGCATGCATGTGTTATTTATTCATTGAAGTAACTTTAAATCATATCATGTCCTAGAAACAGCATTAAAGTCGAACCATGATATTGATCTTGCTTTTTTACTTTTGGAATACATATCCATACTTTAACATCATAAACATTTAGCAAATCTTAAGGTGAATTAATTTTAAATATTTTAAAAAAGTTACATAATGCTGTCTAATGGGCATTATTTATATTAATCGATATGGGCATTATTTTCTTTGGAGATTTAAAATAATATAAACCACCTACTTGACATGACATTATGGTAACGTTAAATGAATACATGTAAACGATAAAACATCATCTTACGTGTATCTAAAGCATGTCTCCTACAACATAGTATTTGTGCTTGATTTTGACATCAGTTTTAATTATTTCATCATCAAGCTAATAATTGATAACCCTAATTAAAGATAAATAATTAACATCATATATAATCGCTTTATTTCCCACTTATATTTTATACTATTTTTTATACGCACATTTTAAAATTATTCTTCCAGAATCAGGGAAACAACAATAGCTGTTCCTCGTCAATTGCCAAGAAGAAACATTTCCCTTTTGATAAAACTCACGTTTGTTGCACTTTAAGCAAGTTGGTCTATTAGGTCAACTTTATAGTCGTTCTATTGTGGTTGACCGTCTCATGTAAAAGCAACTTCAAAAGTAAATTACATGCATATTATATTCTATTTAATGTAATTTAAAAATAAGAATCATATCCTAATAGCAGTGATTGATGATTATAGACTTTATAGCCATTAGGGGTTAATCCATTAATTAATGTTTATCATCTTTGACCTAAACAAATGTGGGCAATTGAAACGAAATTGCAGGAGAAAAGATGGGAAAATTATTGGCACTGTTCCCAATCATGTATTTATCGGGTGGGACGTGTGTGACACTGATCATGATGGGGGCTGGCACAATGAAGATATTCTTCCACGTGGTGTGCAGAGGGCCATGCCCTCTCACAACTATTGAGTGGTACTTGGTGTTTACATGCACAGCCATTTTGCTTGCCCAGTTACCAAACCTTAATTCAATCGCAGGGGTTTCACTCATTGGAGCCATCACTGCTGTGAGTTATTGTGCTCTTATATGGATAGTATCTGTAGTCAAAGGAAGACTTGATCATGTGTCATATGAGCCACCAAGGGTACAATCAGAAGCTAGCATGGTTTTTAGTGCGTGGAATGCGCTAGGCATCATTGCCTTTGCTTTCCGCGGTCACAATCTTGTGTTGGAGATACAGGTACGGCAAAGTGACATTTTGTTTTTATCAAACAATCAAAAGCATTTATTGTTGCTTAATTGTCACCCCAATTCAAAATTGTAGGGAACCATGCCTTCGGATGCAAAGCAACCCTCACGCTTGGCCATGTGGAGAGGTGTTATGTTTGCTTACCTAGTCATCGCTTTGTGTTTGTTCCCCCTTGCCATTGGGGGTTATTGGGCCTATGGAAATTTGGTAAGCATTATCTATTTTCCATGGTAGCTTATGTTTTCAATTATTGACTAATGACTTGTTCGTTGATGCCAGATACCAAGCGGGGGGATGTTAGGTGCTTTGCACACATACCATGAACATGATACGTCAAAAATTATCATCGCTCTGACAAGCTTGCTAGTTGTCATAAACTGCATTAGTTCCTTCCAAATATATGCAATGCCAGTGTTTGATAACCTGGAATTCAGATACACTAGCAAGAAGAACAGACCTTGCCCGCGGTGGCTAAGAGTAGCCTTCAGGGGTCTCTTCGGCTGCCTAGCATTTTTTATTGCTGTAGCGTTGCCATTCTTACCAAGTTTGGCAGGTCTGATTGGAGGTGTTGCTTTACCAATAACCTTAGCTTACCCTTGTTTCATGTGGATACAAATTAAGAAACCACATAAATTTAGCATAAATTGGTACCTGAATTGGACACTAGGAGTTGTTGGGATGATTCTGAGCGTACTGGTTGTCATAGGAGCCATTTGGGGCATAGTTGCACAGGGCATAGAGATCCATTTCTTCGATCCACAGTAGAAATAAGATATTATACTATTCTCAATCACATCACTAGAAGTTGATTTGCAGGGGATTCATGGACAAGCATGCTGAACACACAATGATATGGGTATGTTACTCCCATTATGGAAGAAATCGAGAGAATGCTTCACTTGTAGCAAACACAAACATTCTATTCTAATTGTTGGGTATCGTTAATGAATCATGGGTCAATTTTATGCCAAATGTCTAAAAATAAAATGGATTTAATACGTGGAATGTACCAGAAAAGAAAAATGAAGGTAATATGTGAATCTGCCCAATAAATATTCCATTGAAAATAAAAAATCAGCCAGGTCTTAAGTCAGATAAGGACATATTTTCACATCATCATCCAAAGTAAAGTTAATAAGGGTTACATTCTCCAAACAAGGCCAACACCACAGAAATTATCTTCGAAAGCTAGCAACACTTCGCACCTACCATTTAAGCACCTTGTGCACAATATCACGGTGCCAAACCTATCTCGCACATTCGTTGTCATTATACAATAACTCATCTGATGGTATTTGAACTTTCAATGTAAGCACATAACACTATCATGGGTCAAAAACTCAATAGTAACTTGCAGTAGTTGCACTATGTATACAGAAACAAACAGCAAAAAGAAATGCCAAATATATAGGTTGTGACAAGATCCAAGTAGCATTACTAAGCCACATTGCCTCCAACAATGATCTAGATCAACCAATTGGATAAGCTTGTGTTGATGCAGAAACATCAATTATATACTTTAGTTGACTTGCTATAGCTGGAATCAGATGATACACAATCCAGTGATGAATGAGAAGTGGGACCAATGGAAATGGTCAAGAATGGCCAAGACCCTATGCCAGTAAATGGGTGGTAACTGGTAAGAGAATAGGAAATATGCCAAAGGTAAAGACTTGATGCCACTTTACATTGACAACGGAAGAAGCATTCTTCGTTTCTTTTTCCTTGCGAGTCTTACTTGCTTTGTAATTTTCATGCATAAAAGCAATAGGATTGTGATGCAGACTAAAAAAAAAGCAAGCCGGATGTGCTTGAAGTACAAAGAGACTACGGAAAAGACCAAGAAAGCTAAAATAACAAGTTCCCATATTACAAAAACCACCACATCCACCCTGCACCACAATAAAGAGGAAACAAGATACATTATTATCACCAAATTATGTTATTCAAAAAGCAATGACAAACATAGCAATTAATCCAACTAAAGAGACTGCAAGTATTTCATATGCATATAGAGTTCAACTGGAGCTTGGAGGGGACTGAAGGAAAGGGAGGAGAAGGTCAATGATGGGACCAAAATCCCTCCACTCTCATTTCTGTTGCACTTTCTATTTTGAAGGGAAGAAAAATTGTTCTGTGATATTTGGACTAACCGACTAAATGATTCTAAGCTTTTATTTTTCCTTTTCTTTCCCTCCATTTATAACAGTATATTACTTTATTTTTCCTCCCTCCTTCACACAAAACCTATAAAGGACAGATACTCCAAAAATGCAAAAAGTATGGATTTTGATACATATCCAGTATCCAAAAAGTATCCATTCATCTTTTAATATTTTATCTACAAATAAATTGTCTGATGTATCTCCAATACTCCATGGATACAGCTAAAGGACACATTCTGTACCTACGGTAGTTTTTTAATTGTTAAAAGGCACCCAATAGTGTCTATTGTTAAAAAGGAGCATATATCTACTCGTCATTCTAAAATTCTTTCTTCCAAACGTTGATGTTATTGTTCAATAGAACCAAAACTTCTCATATTCTGAAATGGGTGGGGAAAGATACGTAACTATGCATACTTGTTAAGACTTATGACCACAAGTATTTTTTTTTTTTTGTAAATTGTAATCATCATCTACTAACTATTTATATAATTATGTATCAATAATAAATTAGTAATGTAAATGTCTCAATATTGTGTTTATGTTGTTAGATATACATAAAGTTTAAATACTCATTTGGTCCCTATAGTTTAATAAATTTTACCTTTTAGTCTATACAGTTAAAACATTTAATTTTAGTTCTTATACATACCTTTTTGTTTCCTTTTAGTCACTGACATCTATTTGTTATAGGGACTAAAAAATAAAGTTTACAAAACTATATGGACTAAAAAAAAACAAAAATGGTAAATATATGACTAAAATGAAATGTTTGAACAATAGGAACTAAAAAGTAAAGTTCATGAAAATATAGAGACCAAAAATGAGTATTTAAACCTATATATAATTTTTTGTTAGCATATTGTTAGCAATAACAACTGGATTCTAAAACAAGAGAATAAAATACTTAACACACAAACAACGATTTAACGAGATTAGACAACATGTCATCGTACTCCGGAGCAAAGTTGGTGTTTTCTATTATTATTAGAAATAGGGTTAAATCAAGTATAGATATAAACTATGAGGACATAGGCCTACACCCCAACCCAATTAGTTTGTAACCCAACAAATAGGCCGTCCAAACCCAATCTACTCTACTCCAACGTCTGCCTATCCATTATGAATATGAGTCATATACACCTATGCACAACACATATCTTGACCACATATCTTATTTTAAAAAAACTCCTCATATCCCCAGATCCATATTGTATTATGTATCTGGGCTTCATAGACCAAAATAAATAATAGGATTTAATTTTCCACTTCCCTTGTCTCCTCTACATTAAAAACCCCTCCCGTCCCCACCAGTAATTGTATATCTGAAACATTAATTTGTGCCAATAATTCAACTAAAATGGACCGATTGATGATCATAGACGATTTCAAAGGTTTGGAAAAACGATATATAATAAGCAAATACATGTGCCATCAGAAAGAGAAAAAAATGATTTATCAGTATGAATTAACTATGGATTTGGAAATATTTTAGAGAAGCCCCTAAATATTAAGATCAAAAGTGTACGGGAACAGGAGATTAAGATTGACTAACCATCACTTCTGAGTTGGATAGGCATACCAATCATCCTAGCCAATTGTGCTAAGATTTGGCACTTAAACATAGAAGCTAGACAGGCACTCCAGAAATACGAATCTTCTCTTACTCCTACAAATCACAACCCCCCCAAAGTAATTACTAACTATACACTTATTTTGCTTTTGTAACCAATGAACTTGATAATTACTTGAAGCCACTTTTCAGCAACGCCTAATTTCAATATCATGCCCAGAAATACAAGTGCTCTTTTTAAGATTGGCCAATAACAATAATACGAATCAAAACCCTGTTTTTCCGTCCATATTCGTTAACTATCCTATCAGCCAGGTTAAGAATTTAATCAACCATATTAAACAAGATTAGGCACATACCCAAATCAAGGAGTCAAACACAAATGGTATGCGCAAAACAAACGGTGGATGTATGCCTGGGGAACAAATTGAATGCTAATCCCGACAACCACGCCGAAACGAATCACCCTCTACCTCCTATGAATTTATTTATTATAATATTTTCTCCCTAGTCATATCATATTAACAAGTTACAACAATTCTCATCGTAATTAAAAAAAAAAAAAAAAAAAAAAAAACTGTTAAGGGAAATAAGCCAAATCCTGTGGGGGGAAAATGCAACTAAGAAAATGACATGAAAATTCAAAACTAGCCCATTGAAATTGATTATCTTGTAATCTCACGTGAGCAATAATTATGAGACAAACAACAAACGTGGAAAATAAAAGGGGGATTTGATTAATAAGATGGCATGGAAAGGATTCGTAATTTGAAAAATATAAAAATAAAAAATAAAAAGGTTAGGTATTGCATACCTGGAGGAGGTGATGTTTGAAGAAGTGGAGGAGAAGAACGAGACAGAGGCCCAGTCATGCTTGGATCGAATCTGATACTCTCGCAGCTGTTCGGCCAGATTCGATCGTGTTATCATGGTAGCCCCTCCCTCTCTCGCTGTTCCTCTCTCCCTCTCTCTCCTCTTAAAGCCGAAACTCTGATTCTCTCTCTAAAACGAAAACATCGACTATGAGACTTTTTCAGAGCCAGAAATCAATTTGATTGTAGTTAGAAAACGAACCAGCCATGCTTCCCATTTGTTTTTCTTTCAGGCTTTGAGCTTGAGAACGGGCCGGTACAAGCCCAATCCAAACGGACAAATAAGTGTATGGTTAATGATATACACACCTCCTTTTTTCTCTGTACACTTTTTTTTAAATAATTAAATTTTTAAAATATTCTTAATTTTTTTTAAAAAAAATTATTTTTAATTTTACATCGACAACATTTAATTTTCTTTTTCACACATCTTCCCTCATTTTTTCAATTTTTATATGCACCGCACCCTCTTACCTTTCTTTCATCCACCTATTTTGGTAGTATGTAAAAATTAAAAGAGAAAAAAATGTGTGAAAAATAAGAAGAAAGTAGCAAATTGAAAGTCAGAGGTATAAAATTAAAAAATTTAAAAAAATTACAGTATTTTATAATTTTAAAAAAAATAAAGGAGGTGTATATATCATCAGCCTAAGTGTATTTGTTCATGCGCTTTACATCCTCCTTAGTATAAAAAAAAAAGAAAATAAGTACGTTCACTTTTACTAAATTAATTTACACTCTAAGAGCATGTTTGGAAAATGTTTTTTCCCATGATTTTAGCTGTTTTGAAAGAAAAAAGTTTAATAAATAACTTTTTTTATTATTATTTTGAAGCTTTTGATTATTTTTAATATTGATATTTTGGTCATAATAGTAAATAGTTGTTTTAATAATTTTTCATTTTAAAAATATGACCATGAATGAATAAAAAAAATTACATATGTCATATAATTTGATATCAACTAAACAATCATATGAACACCAATATTTAATCAAATATGACTTATTGAAATTATTTTTTTATGCGTCAAAAGGATTAAAGAACCAAATTAAGATATAATATGAGTAACGCCCTATTCTATCAGCTAAACTTAATACACTTAACTGAAAATAATACTCATTACATTTTGTGAAAGAATCATCATGTGAAGCTTCTTATATAACTAGCCAAATTTTTTATAAACCATGGTAAATGACTAATAACTCCTTTTTAAGACTTGTAGAAAAATCATAGTACCAACAAATCCCGATAACCAATTATCAAAATGATATCACAAAAATTAATTTATCATCACTAAATAAAAAAGAATGATATTAAACACTAATTTATGTGACGAATAATTAATAAAAAATTAAAGACTAACAAAAATTACAAGAGATACTAAAAATTGAATTCTTAAAAATAATAGGAACTATAAAATTATTTTACTTATTAATTTTGTTTTTATAAACTTGTCACATGTGTTTCTTATTATTCTAGAAAAAAAACTATTTCATATAATCTTTATATTTTTTTAACCATTGTATTAATATGAATTGTTTTTATTGAATTATTTGAAGACAATCTCATTCTACATACAAATCAACTTTTGAATATAGTGTCATGATATTACTACATAAATTCTACCTAGACAAATTAAAGTCAACTTAACCACACATATATCATCATAATCACGATTAAGATATGTCTTAAAAGCTAACTTCACAATTCACATTAAACATAATGCGCTTGTTTATGCAAAATAACAACACCACAATCACTAAAAGTAAGGTCTCATATCATACATGTATGGTATACTTTATATAACAATCTTACTTCTATTATAATAAAATTTTTGTTTATCCGGCAGCAAAATATTTATAACTAATTATCAATAGTGCTTTAATGTTTTCACATTGAGATTGACATTGAAGACTTCATGTATATCATTCGAATATAGAGTATTCATTCACTTTAATGATGACTAATATTTATCAAATTGACAATTAATTTTTATTTTATAAAAATAAAAATTTTGGCCTAACACATTTTTTTAATAAATTTAAGACAAATTTTATAAATTAAAAATAAAAATTATTTTATTTAAAGAGATTAAAAACATACCTATTCGATTAAAAAAAAAAAAAGGAGCTTCATCACAATTTATTTTTTAAATTACAGTAATTTAATTTTAATTATTATTTTTTCCTGAGGTTTATTTATATTTATAACTAAAGACTAAGAGTATCAAGTATCAAGTATCAAGTACGAAGAAAGTAACAGATTTACGCAGAGGATAAAATTAAAGAGGGGATTCCGCCGACCCTCATTTGTAAGTTGTAGGTTCAATTGAGCGAAGAAAGCAGGGTAGTTCCGTTGCGAGAAGAGTAAAGTAATAATAGTTTGGTCTCGCGTAGTTCAATCGAATCATTCCCATGGCTTCCTCCTCCGGGAACGAGAAGAAGACATTAGGGTTTATGCGGCACGCGATGAAACGCAAGGACAGCTTCATTCAACTATTCGCCATGACCGGAATCCTCCTCTTAAGCATGAGATCTTTGGGCCAAAAGTACAAAATCCACTCCCTCGAAGAAGACATTCACACCCTCAGCCTCGACCACGCTTCCCTCACCGACCGCATCAATAACATCAAGCGCGACCTCCTTCGAGAAGCTTCTCAAGACTCCACCGGCCTCTTCGCTTCTCGCCTCCGCCACCTCTTTTCCGAATAGCTTTGATTCTTTCCCTCTCCTCGTGAGTTTTTTTTTTCATGTTTCTCAATCTCTGAAGAAATGGTTGTAAGCTTTGAGAAATTATATATCTCTTTTGCCTCTTTAATTGTTCCTCTGCTGATAGAAAACAAATAAACTAGACTCGTGAATAATACAGTATTTGAGGATGTTTGTTACTTTTTTCTAGTAATATATTTGGTCTGATTATTAGCATGAAATGTAATGTCCCGTGGCATCTACATTTGGACATTAGAATATTCTTAGAAGCTAACTTCAATGTGGAAACTGCTGTTGATCAGATTAGAAGTTATGCATATGTTGATTTTGTGTTTATATGTGTAGTGACTTTGTTGGAGTAAGACATTATTTCCCTTAAAATTCTGATGCCAAACTATTATTCCTTCCGGCACAACTCAACTGCAATGAGTTTTTTCGTTTTACAGTAAATCAATGGTTCCCCAGGTGGTTTTGGTGGTAAACTTCAATAGTTGCATTGTAGTTTATTAAGAACATGTTTTGATACAAGTCTAGAAGGGTTTTAAAGAGTTTCTTTTCTAGAAAGGACTATTTATTTTTAATAGTGGAGTTCTTAAAAGTTTTTATAAAACTGTATCCGAACATGCTCTAAGCCTATATCTAAAGTTTGAGTCCACACTATTCCATATGTATGATCAATTTACTTTGATTGGTAATTGGAAATATTCAGTGGATCCGGCCTTCTATGAAAATCACAGTTAGTTGAATCAAAGGTATATCGGGGTTCAGGTGTCCTCCTTCCTGACCTTACCTTGTTCCTACGTGCTTGGATTTCTTCAATATTTGTAATCTATCGTTCTCTTTATCTTATCTGTATTTGGTTAAATCTTTGTCTTGGCTTTCCTTTTGTTACTATTCTATCTTTGCCCAATGGTTTATTTAGTGTGTGTTTGGATTAGCTTGCAATTCTACAAAAGTTCATTTTAAAACCATGTTGAAGGCCAAAGCAACAAGTAGTTGCTTAAACTTTTTCAGAATTTCAATTTTCACCTTGATTTTGGGGGTCATAATTGATTCTGGGAGGTATCCAAACACACTATTAATTAGCATGGCTTGCCGAAAAAATATCCATGCTGTGATTTGGCCTTTTGTCCCTTGCACAATGGTTTATTTAACTATCATGGTAATTCCTCCAGCAATTTCATCCTTTCATTTAGACTTTGTTTAGATAAATTTCTGCACAAGCACTTATAGAGAAGAAAATAAGAAGGTAAAATGTTATATAAGCTTTTTTCATAATTAAAATTAACTTATGCACTTAACTTTTATAAAATCTTTCTTATTTAGCTTCTCCCAAAATTGAGATGCAAAAGTTGCTTTTTGAAAAAACTTAAATTCTTTTTCCCTTCTTATTTTTTCTCATGTAAGTATTTATTGATAAATTTATCTAAACAAATTCTTACTTTCTGTAAATCTTAAAGATTTGCTGTAACTCATTGCCACAATTTCTTTTAATTGGCCTAAAAAATTGTAAGGTTCTTCATATAGTATGATGATAACTGTTTAGGTTGTAACTCATGATCATGATTTTTTTTAAACTGGTGGTTGTGTTACGATTTCACATAGATTATTTCTTATAATTCTTAAATTTGATGACATCGCCGAGCTTAGTAACCTAAGAATTCTATGTTTGGTAAAAATGTGCACACACAAGTCAGAAGCAATTGTATTCTAGCAAGCTTCAGCGTGTCAATGCACTACTTTCAATGTGGTAACACACAAGTGATAGCATGGTTATTTCTAAGTGATATCCTTTTAAAATGATAACATTTTAACACACTATTATTGAACTTGGACATGCCAGGTGTTAAGGATTGGGCTATTGGCTCAGCCCATATATTGAACTTTGTTGGCCCAATGCATTTCACCATAAAAAGTACAGTTGTTGACCGATGTTAATATCTAGGTACACAGACACAGTGCTTAAGATATGTTTATATACAGTGCATAACATATCAACATGGAGCAAAGTTGGTCTATCACTACATCAACATAAAGTATTACTAGTAGGAACAAGGACATTCTGCTTTCTTAAAAAAAAAATAGAGAAAATGATAAGTTTTATGTCAATTTTTATTGTTTTAATATTTATGGCAGTTTTTGACGGTTTTTTTTAGTAACTATTATCGGTAAAATAGGTTTAGAAATTGTGGACACCAAAGTAGACAATTCTTTATTATTGGTATAAATTACTCTTGTGAGGCCATGGACCTGATCCAATCCATTTATAATTTTATAATACCATCAATTCTGCTGTATGAGGTACCCATCTAATTTATTTTTGTCATCCAGGTGGGATTATTTCTAACTTAAGGAGCCTTTTGTAAGTACTTCGTTCGTTTCCTACGACAAGGTGTGCAAAATATTACTGAATCAGATTATAAAAAATGACTCTTTTTTGAGAAAGAAATTCTGAATTGTTTTGTTCGCTTTGAAAAAATTATTCGGCTAATAATTTTTTTTATATATATATAAAACGCTTCGATTCTGCTATATATATATATATATATATATATGTGTGTGTGTGTGAGTATAAAAGTGAATAATGGAATTGCACCGACGATCATCATTTAAAAGAATCTGATGTTTTTAGAAAAAAATAAATAAATTGATTTACTTTATAAAATACTATATGAAAAGAGTTAATTCGTGTTTTTATATATTTATTTTAAAAGTAAAAATAAAAAAATAACGAAAGATAATGATGGTTTTATTTATCGAATGGAGACGGTTATCTAACATGGTTGCTACCGAAAAAGAGAATGTGATTAGAATGACAATAAGGATAAAAATAAAATATTTTAAATAAATATAGATAAATTAGTTAAAAAATAAAGGAGTCTAAGAAAAGTGAAAACATTCTCTATGTAATAATAGATGTTTCGATTAATCAAATCGATTTTATAAAACGAATGATAACTCAGTTGCACTAGAGTCTTGGTTTGTTGACTTTAGGACTTAGATTTTCCAACTTACTTGAGATGACTTTATTGTGAAGCCTACTTCAAATACATCATATTCCATTTTAGACAAGTGAATACTCTTTTTTTTTTTTTTGAAGGTAGAAGTGAATACTCTCTATCTGAAACACATTAACAGTGCATTTTGAGTTCACTGTCCATACAATCTTAATCACCATTGTTTGCAAAAGTCAATTTTAATTTGCAATATCTAACCTTTGAAATGTTGGTATAAAAAAAAACGTGACCAAGCATGAATTACATGAAAAGAATTATTATAAATTATCACAAAGTATGTAACAAACATTTGTAGGAATTTGTAGTGTTCTGGCATCTTGTTTTAATTTCATGTTTATATAGCTAACAAACATGAAGTTAAAATAATTTCTTCAGTGCTATAAAGATCTCGCCTTAATCTTTTATGAGCGATCTTACTTGACATTCAAACAAGTAATTACATTATGTTCTTGTTGCAAAGCATATATCACCTATAAAAATATGACAAATGATTCCTTTTAGAAGAAAATATGAAAATTTATTAAATGCTTATAATTTTAACTTTTTTTGTTAATGCAATGACCAGTACATTTTCACATTATGAGAAGAGACTAAAATTGAAAACAAAATAGTGCTAGTAGAATTAACATGTAACCTGCTCTTACCTATATGAATGGGTTGAAAAAAAAAATTCTTTTGTTAATGCAATGACTAGTACATTTTCACATTATGGGAAGAGAGACTAAAATTAAAAACAAAATAGTGCCAGTAGAATTAACAAGTAACCTGCTCTTATTTATATGAATGGGTTGTTGTAAATTTCTTACACCGAATTCAATTATTATGTATGGAACAAAGAATTCTTATGCATGAGGTTAATGAAAACTATAAAATCTCAAAAGATCTTAAAAATAAACAATGCGAGACATAGATCTTCTACAATACTCTCAAACGCAATAATCCCCGCGTATTTGAAAAGTTAGAAAAACGTTTATGGAAATGAAATTTGTAGAGTTTAAGGATATCAAAAAATAGTTGTAAATTTATAGAGTTTAAGGACAACCAAAAACAAAGCAACAAACGTCTACCCCTATGGGGTCATCTAACGATGGCCGCAATTATAAGTAGAAATTGCTAGGACTGCGACTGCATCTGCCTTTACTGATTTGGTGAGTTTGGAATATGAAGGATAAGAGGACCCTTTGGTCTTCTTTGCGTGTGAACACGTCATGTGACCCCCAGTTGTAAGCACACCCCACGAAAGAACCCATGTGGAAGACAAAACCCGCATAGTTCAAAATATAATTAGGCTAGAGTGAGGACCCCACGACCGACACCCCAATTTAATTTCTACCCTCTAGAGAAAAACACATTATTTGTGTTCTTGCATGCTGCCAAATTCCCTTCAATTTTCCCTCTCATTTATTTTAACTTTTCACGGCTATATTACACCACTTCCCCCATCTGTACCGCACCTAAATGTGTGCCACCCCTAATCATTTCTGACCCCTCCCCCTTCCCTTTAAAGTCTCTTTGTCCCTTAATAGCTTCAGCATTAAGTACGCCATTGGTGAGAGAAACAAAGAGTGTGTTAATTAAGAAGAGCAAAAATGCCTCTCAAGTTGGCGGGAGGAGCCACTGTCGGTGCCCTTCTCCTATGCGTTGCTATTTCTCTCTTTCACATTGCTAGCGCCGAAGATCCCTACAGATTCTTCAACTGGAATGTTACTTATGGGGACATTTACCCTCTTGGCGTTCGTCAAAGGGTATGTAATATGCTAATGCATATCTCAATCTCAACCTCAACCTCAACTCTTTCCACTGCCTTCATCTTTTATACTTTTTTTTTTTTTATCACGGTGAATAATTCACTAAATAAAACATGTAGGGAATATTAATCAACGGACAATTCCCAGGTCCAGATATTCATTCTGTTACCAACGACAACCTCATCATCAATGTCTTCAACAGCTTGGATGAGCCCTTTCTCCTCTCCTGGTACTCTCTATTCTCTCCCTTCGATCTCCGCTTTTTGTTAACTATCATAAGCTTAAAGCATCATAATGTGAGTGAGATCGAATTAACTATTAAGCATGTGAGTAGAGTATTTTTATAACATAAAAAAATGTTACTTATTAGATATATTGATTATGTTGATCCGCTGAGCCTGAGGGTATGTCTGATGCTGGCTTGAGTCGGTTGCACATTTCTTTAGACGCTTCTCTGTTTTGGATGTTTGTTAAGTCATATCATGAGTCTGGCTGGAAAGTGGAAACACTGAAATTTCCCATGTGTTGGACCGAATGTGTGGACGTGGTTCCAGATCTAACTCGCTGAGCTTGGATATATTATAATGAACGTACACTAAAATGGAATGCATTTTCATGTTTAAAAAATGTTCAAAATTACATTATTATTTTATTCTGTCTGAAAAGGACACAGACACGTGATTGTGCCAATGTGGTGCAATATTTGAGTGGGAGAGGAAAGTGAGGAACGAAGAAGTAATTCCCCCCCCCCCCCCCCCCCCC